CCTTTGTTAACAAAGACTCAAACTGAAATAACTCAAATCACACAACAGAATGGAAATATCACTCCCAGAAAGTTCAAACACAATAAGCGCTAAAGAAAAAAGCTGCCATAGGCGAGCCCAAGCAAGTTTTGCTTGTTTTTCCCGCTATCCGGTGCATCTATAAGAGGGTGGAACGTGATGACTCCATGTTCAGGTAATATTGAGTCTCGAGTGAAACTCCGTTTTTGCTCCAAGTTCATATGCAAACAAAGAAAATAACAAGGAATTAGATGTGAAGATTTAACTCTAAATAATATAAAGTGAAACACAAAAATTGAGAAATCTTATTGCGTCTCAGTTCTAAAATGTCCAGAAACTTGAAACCAGTAGTTTGCTACATATAACAACTCTTAATATGGAGAGATATTTAACCATATAAATCAGTCAAGCAAACAAGACATGTTTTCTATTTCTTTAAGTTATCTCAGAATAGTAAATGTAAAACACTTTTACCTAATAGCAGAATCACTATAATGACGCATACTAGAATTTCATATAGGAACTCATATATGTTTCAATAAAGTGTTTTGAGTCCAATAAGCATGATGGATGAAGGGAATAAACTTAAAAGTACTCGGCTTCAAATAAGTCCTATAATCACGACTTATAGATCTCCTAAACATGATCTAATCCTATAGACATGATTACTATAATTTGAATGAGATTAAAGGGGCTAAAATCTCCCAGAGCAAGTAAACAAGATATTCGTTTATTTTATGTGACATTAAAGTGAATAAATAATGAGTAATCTTAAGTAACGAGCTATGTTACTATCTAAACATAAGGTCTTTAATCCTAACTTGTTTCTTTCAAATCTAACATATTGAATAGAGAAACGAGATCGCGAACCCTTTAACTTTAATAAATAAGATAACAAATCCTATGACATGATATCTAGATCGAGAGGCGTAAAATACGACTATTGTATGTTAATTAGAGATCTAAACTGAACTTGTAAATTTGAGCAATTAGCCGAGCATTTTTATTCTTATTCAAATAGCAGATGGCCAGAATACACCAACTCCTATGCACATGATTTATATCCGAGAATAGTAAGCAAGTTTAAAGTACTATTTCCACTAAACTACTATCATATACGTAGCCTATATTATTAGGATATCTATTAATCATATAAAGATAAATATAGATCAGAACTATCCCCTACTTTTACCCATTTAAACGAATAAGTGTAATAGCAGACTAGATTAACCTTTTTTTTGTACAAACAAATAAGCAAAAGAGTACTAGAAACATGATTTTGAATACATTGACAGCTGCTAAACTATGGCATTGCACACAAATAAGAGAAAATTCCGAAGCACATGGTTTCTAATCAAGATGACGACATAAATACAAATAACAAGAATCATATCAAAATTTTGTTTTTCGTGATATCTAGAATATGCGAAGAAAACGAAAGAGGAATTAGCCGCACACTCACGATACACACCAAAACAGGAATTCGTCTTAAACTTATGGAATCAAAAAGAAAATAAAAGACACTGACCTGCTTTGGTGCAGTGAACTGGGGTTGGGTTTTTCGATCTGCTATCGAATTCACCTTGAACTCGCTACTTCGGACGGCGTCCAACAATGATAGAAGATAAATTTCCTTGGTGCGGGAATGGAAACCAACAAAATCAGAGAAGAAAAAAGAAGAACGAACTAAATTTGGTTTATTATGGAAAATCAGTGGCCTATGAGAAAAGAGGAGGCGACTGATAAACCCTTGACTTGAAGGGGATAGAGGCGGCTAGCACCCATTAATTTTTGGAGTAAAATGGTGGCTGAATCTTGTGGGTTTAAAGAGAGGTGCAACGGCTCTAAAAGCTCTGCCCCAATATATTCCAAATGCAAGTATTTATAGGTGAAGAAGTAGGGTTCATGTTCCTGTTTTTGAAATTCAAAATTCCTTAGCAGAGAAGGATCACGGGTCGATCTTGGGCTTCCAAAAGAGCCGTTTGAATCTCTGCTCTAGTGATTCTCTGCATAAAAATCAGAAAGAAGGTACTTTGGTACCTTGTGTTGACTAAATCGTTGAAGACAAAAAAGAGACAAGGAACTTGCTCAAAAATGGAAAGGACAAGGTTTGTCCTTGGCTAAAGTAAAGTTTGACTTTGCATAAAAACGAAAAAAAGAGAAGAGGAGTGAGGAAGATGGTAGGAACGGCTGTGAAGAGAAAATAAAAATGAAAGGGAGAACCTAGTTATGTTTTGGGGCTGATCTTGTTGGGCTCGGTTTTGGGCTTGAGAGGAAATAATTGACGAGGAAACATTGGGGCCTTGTATTGGCCGAATTTATGGCCCTGTTCTTTCTTCAAATCAATTTCCTTTGGGTTTCTAATTAACTTCTTTTAGTCATATTATAATATATTAAGTAGATATTAATAATTATATTAAAATACAGTAATAATAACAATACTAAGGATGTTAATAATAAAATTGATAACAATAATAATACTAGCAGCAGCAGCAGCAACAACAGTAGTAGTAGTGTAGTAGTAGTAGTAGTAATAATAATAATAATAATAGTAATAATAATAATATAATAATAATAATAAGGCAAAATACATAAACGATCCCTTTAAGTTGTCCTCAACGGTCACACAAACACCTCAACTGAGCCCATTTTCAGTTGGTCATTTCAAGCCTTCAATAAAGTAGGTCAATTAAACACCCGACCTCATCAGCCCACCTCGTGTGAAATACATTCTCGGATTCATGTCAAACGAACAAATAAGAAAATACCATGTGTAATTTTAATTAAAAAATTTGCCACCTATTATAAAACAAAAAAAAAATCAATAATAATAATTTAAAAAAAGAAAGAAGAACAATAATTATGAAAAAAGCTCCTTTAATCACCATCTCTATGAATCACCGCCGGCCATTCCTCTTCGTCTCCAGTTTTCTTCAGCAACTATTTTCTCTTTTTCTCCTTAATCACCATTTTCAATTCCATACCTCCCCCTTTGATTTCCTTTTTTCCAGATTCCTTCCCCCTTATTTTTATTTCAGATTTCCTCATCATCCACCTTCAATTTAAATCCCCAGCCCTCACCCGCGTTAACCAACCCATTGTGTTTCAAGCACCACCACCATTTTTGCCACCTTGGTAGTGATGTGAGATTGTTTGGGAGCTATTGAAGGTGATTATCATCTTGGAGAGGTTGAATTTGGTAGAAGTGGATCTGAAAATTTTTTGGTGGACCGTGGTACTGAGCATATTTGGCTTCTGAAATATTCATATTTTCCTTAATTTCAGAAGTAATTGAGCCTATTTTTCATGGACCAGTCAATGTGGCGGTCACAGTTGCCGTAAATGAAGAACAAGAGAATAAGATTGATATGATATTACCATTGTTCTAACAAAGTATGATTTTTTTAACACAAAAAGGTGGACTTATCTTCTTTAATGTAGTAGTCGACTGGATTTATGCTCTGGTGGTTGGGCTGCCCTTTTATTGGTGGATGGTGAGTTGTTTTGTTGGGTGGTGCGGTGGCTGGAGTGACCTTTTAGAATTGTTGGTTGATGGAGCGGTCGAATGGGGGTGGGGGCAAACTTTAGTTAGTATTTTAAGTCCATTCACGCGCTGAAATTGGATTGAGAAACACACAATATGACATGTCAGCATGAGGTGTTTAGTTGACTTATTTTATTGAAAGCTTGAAGTGTCCAACTGAAAATGGGCTCACTTGAGGTGTTTGCGTGATCGTTGAGGACAACTTAAAGGGGCCGTTTATGTATGTTGCCTAATAATAATAATAATAATATAATAACAATAATAATAATAATAGTAATAATAACAACAACAACAACAACAATAGTAGTCGTAAATGAAAAAGTATTTGATGTATTATTAACTTAGAAGCTCAAGGAAATTAATTGGAAGAATGGAGGGACAAAATTGGATGTCAACAGTGACATGTGTACATTGAAACCAAGCTCCCAAGTATGTAAAATAATCCCCACACACCCCACACTTAGCCCGATATCACATACAACTACACTCAGTTACTCAGACTTCACCGATGCACGAAATACTCATTCAAACATTTTAACAAATACCTTGTGGGCATGACGTTTGTGACTTTAGTTTAACAATGGTGGAACATGGTGGCCCACCCAAATTTCAAAGAAGTAGAGGAAATTCTATTTTACTACTCCGTATATAATACAACCACGAACTAATTTTGTCCCACATTCGGACCACCCACGTAGAACAAGTCTTAAAAAGCAACTTAGGTGCAAAATTTTGGGTATTAGGGTATTTGGAAAGTGGGATGTTTATTATCATCTACCTATTAAAAGAAGAAGAAGAAGAAGAAGAAGAAGAAGAAGAAAACATACCTGTAGGATTTAGGATGAGAGCAAGAGAGGAGCTTGAGAAATTTGAGAGAGAGGAGGTAGAAGGGTCGCGACAGAAAGTTCCACCGTGAGAGAGAGATAGAGATACGGGTGTTTGGGAGGGGGGTGTTATGTTTTAATTTGTGTTGGGGAAGGGTATGTGTTATAAGGAGGGTTATAATGTTAGTATAGATGGGTATATGGGTCGGGTTCTATGGGTGTGGACATTAAACTAATAACAAAAAATAAAACCAAAAAAAAAAAATTTAAACTCACCTGCACCCCCTAGCGCAGCGTCCCACGCTAGGCCTGGCGCTGAGGGGCTTCGACATTTTGTAACAGGCGCCCCAGGCAGCATGGGGCGCTGGCCTGGGCGCTGATTCGCGATTTTTTTTGAATTAAAATAACATCTCGATCCCCCGAGCACTTTATATATCCAATTTACATGCCCCACACTATTCTACCTATAATTTCTATGCATACAAAGAGAATGCAAACTCTAGTCGATTTAAACTACAAAAAAAATTAAAAAGCTAAGCTATGAAAGCAATAAAAATTGGGTTTCCTCCCAACAAGTGCCTGATTTAACGTCGCGGAACGATGCAGGACCTCGCTTACTCATCAGCGAGTATTACTTTGGTCTTCTCACGATCAATGATTCCTCCCCAGTAGTGCTTGACTCTGTGTCCATTCACTAAAAATTTCCTTTCTCCATGTAAAGCGCGCAACTCAATTGCACCATAAGGAGTGACTCTCACTACCTCAAATGGACCTGACCATCTCGATTTTAACTTCCCAAGAAACAACTTGAGCCTATAATTGAACAATAATTCCTGTTGGCCTGGTTCGAAGTGACGTGGCTTAATACGCTTGCCATGCCGTCTTTTCATTTTCTCTTTGTAAAGCTTAGCATTTTCATAAGAGTGCAGCCTGAACTCATCTAACTCATTCAACTGCAAGAGTCTCTTCTCGCCCGCGACTTCAAGGTCCATATTCAACTTTTTAATGGCCCAGTACGCCTTGTGTTCAAGTTTAACAAGCAAGTGACATGCCTTCCCATAGACAAGCTTATACGACGACGCCCTAATTTGTGTTTTGTATACAGTTCTATATGCCCACAAGGCATCATCTAACTTCGCAGCCCAATCCTTCCTATTAACACTCACCGCCTTCTCCAATATTTGCTTTATTTCTCTATTGGACTCCACTTGTTTGCGGATGATATGCCGTGGCAACTCTATGGCGGACTCCATATTTAGGTAGAAGGTTGTTCAACAACCGATAGCAAAAATGTGTCCCATCATCACTACTAAAGGCTCGTGGAGTCCCAAACCTCGAGAATATATTCTTCTTAACAAACGCGGTACCACCATGACATCATTTGTTGGCAATGCGATCGCCTCTACCCATTTTGACACGTAGTCAATCGCTAGCAAGATGTATTTGTTTCCTCTGGACAATGGGAATGGTCCCAATAAATTATCCCCCACACGTCAAAAATCTCGACCAGCAGGATGTTATTCAAAGGCATCTCATGCCTCTTTGTGATTGTTCCTATTCTCTGACATTGGTCACACTTCTTAACAAATGCATGAGCATCCTTGAATAATGTTGGCCAAAAGAACCCAGATTGTAATACCTTTGCAGTTGTTCTATCGTCTCCATGATGGCCCCCATAAGGTGATGCATGACAATCATACATCACTAATTCCACCTCCTTTTCTGGAATGCATCTCCTCATCAACTGATCAGCACACTGCTTGTACAAGAACGGCTCATCCCAGTAGTAGAAGTTCACATCATGTAGAAACCTCTTTCTAGCTTCAGATTCAATTTCAGGAGGAAGTACCTCACTCACAAGATAATTCACATAGTCCGTGTACCATGAGAGAGGGTCTTGGGTGATAGCAAAAAGTTGCTCATCAGGAAATGCCTCTTTAATTTTTCCACCCTCCTCCACGTGGTCATGATTTTCCAGCCTTGATAGACGGTCAGCTACTTGGTTCTTTGTGCCCTTTCGATCTCGTATTTCTACATCAAATTCATGCAACAACAAAACCCTCTAGCCTTGGATTCCTTTTATGTAAATAGATACCTGATTGTTGCATGATCAATATGGACTATGACTTTTATTCCCACCAAGTATGTCCGAAATTTGTCAAAGGTCCACACAACGGCCAACAATAATTCAGCTGTGCATCATCAAGAGTCTTGCTTGCATAGTAGATGGAATAAAAAATCTTGTCCTTCCTCTGGCCTAGCACTGCCCCAATAGCATGGTCACTTGAATCACACATAAGTTCAAATGGTAAGGACAAATCAGGTGCCGCAATAATGGGGGCAGCCACCAACTGCTTTTTGAGCTCTTCAAATGTCTTCAGGCATACGTCATCAAAATTAAAAGTTACATCCTTTTCAAGCAACCTGCACAAAGGAGTAGCAATTTTTGAAAAATCCTTAATAAAGCGTCGATAAAATCTCGCGTGTCCCAAGAAACTCCGGGCACCCTTCACAGAAATGGGTGGAGGTAATTTTCAGCGGCCTCCACCTTTCCCTTATTAGCTTAAGTGCCGCTTCTTGACACTCTGTGGCCCAACACGATGCCTTCTTGCACCATAAAATGGTACTTTTCCCAATTCAACACTAGATTTGTTTCTTCACAACGGGCCAACAGCTTGCTCAAATTCTTCAAACAATCATCATAAGAAGACCCAAAGACTAAAAAATCATCCATAAAGACTTCCACAAGTTTTTCTACCATATCGGTGAAAATAGCCATCATGCACCTCTAGAAAGTGGCTGGTGCATTAGTAAGACCAAACGACATTCGCTTGATGGCAAAAGTGCCATAAGGACAAGTAAAAGTGATCTTCTCCTGATCCTCTAGGCATATGACAATGTGGTTGTACCCCGAATAACCATCAATGAAGCAATAATATTCATGCCCCGCCAATCTGTCCAACATTTGGTCTATGAGTGGAAGTGAGAAATGGTCCTTGCGGGTTACTTTGTTGAAACTTCTGTAATCAATGCAAACTCTCTACCCTGTCACGGTGCGAGTAGGAATTAGCTCATGTTTCTCATTCTCTACCACAGTCATCTGCCCTTTTGTGGGCATACATTGCACTAGACTTACCCAGTTGCTGTCAAAGATAGGAAAGATGATACCTGCATCGAGCCACTTAATTACTTCCTTCTTCACGACCTCTTTCATAACGGGATTTAATCTCCGTTGTTGCTCAACACTGGGGAGGTTTCCATCTTCCAGAAAGATTTTATGCATGCAAAACGATGGACTGATTCCCTTGATGTCAGCAATTGTCCACCCAATAGCCTATTTATGCTCGTGAAGTACTCTGGCAATTTTTCTTCTTGTACATTAGTCAAGCTGGATGAGATAATCACTGGCAATGTCTCAGAGTTCCCCAAATAAGCATAGCACAGATGCGCTGGAAGGGGCTTAAGTTCTAGCTTTGGAGCTTCTTCAATAGATGGCTTAAAAGGGGTCAGAGTGACAGGCCTGTCCAACTCCTCAAATCTCCCAAACCCATGGACATAACTGCATGACATGTCAAGTACTTGCTCAATTTCTCCCATCATCTCATCTTCAATGTCTTCTTCATCCCCAATCAAAGCTCGTTCAAGAGGATCTATGGGGCTCATATAAGGCACCAATGACGTAGCATCGCTTTCCACCACATAAATCATGGATAGCTCTTCATAGTCACCTGGCAATCTGAGTGCTTTATACACATTGAATACCTCCACTCGATTACCTAATCTCATCGTCATATTTCATTCACATACATCAATAATAACTCGACCCCTGGCTAAGAATGGACGCCCCAAAATAAATGGGACTTCCTGATCAGGCTCGTAGTCCAAGATAATGAAATCAGCAGGAAATATGAAAGAACCCACTTGAACTAACACATCTTCAATCACTCATTCCGGACGAGCAAAGGAGCGATCAACCAACTGTAAGATTACCGTTGTTGGGCGCGGTTCACCCAACCCCAACTGTCTTAACACATATAGTGGCATCAAATTTATGCTCGCCCCAAGATCACACAAAGCTCGCCCGTCTGCATGCTTACCAATTGAGATTTGGATAGTGAAACTACCTGGATCCTTCAATTTCTGAGGTAGCTTGCTTTGAATTCTTGAGCTACATTCCTCAGTGAGTGCCACAGTCTCGAACTCGGTTAACCTCCTTTTATTTGCCACTATGTCCTTGATGTATTTAGCATATTTGGGTATTTCTTGCAGGATGTCTACCAGTGGAATATTGATTTGCACCTGCTTCAAAATATCAAGGAACTTTTTATATGCGGCGTTATCCTTCACTTTCTGCAATATTTGAGAAACGGAGGTGGTGGCCTCGTAACTAATGATGGGGGTTGCTTAGCCACCGCCTCTTCAGCTGGCTTCTCTGACTCGTTTGATTTTTCTGATTCAGCCTCTATGGTGGCGGACTCCTCTTTATAGGTCACTTGTTTTCTCTTTTTTGACTGGACTACTTCTAACTATCTCCCATTCCTCAATAACACTACATTAATATATGCCTTCAGATTAGCCTGAATGTCGCTTGGAAGAGCTCCAACTAGTTGAATATTTTGGGCACTAGCAAGTTGTCCCATTTGTCGCTCCAAATTTCTCATTGCTTCGGCTTGGGCCTACTGGCCAACCATTACTTTCTTCATCATCTCTGCTGTTTAGGCCTGCTGGTCAGCCATAAATGTCTTCATCATTTCCACAAGGTGACTCGTCGAGCATGTTGTTCAGCCTGAGGTGGTCTATATTGTTGTTGAGGTACTTGTGGTCTGTACTGATTCTGAGCAACTTGGTTTCCACCCCAAGAGAAGTTTGGGTGGTTCCTCCAGTTAGGATTGTAAATATTCCCATACTGGTTTTTCTGGCCCTTATTTGCATTACCCACAAAACAGACAGACTCTGGATTAACTGGGCATAAGTCGCTCGTATGACCCTCTCCACATACTTCACAAAACAATTGAACATGTTGCACTGGCTGGGATTGTTGCTTGTTAATAACCAAGGTCATCTGATTGACTTGGTTAGTCAATGTGGAAATCTGTGTTGATAATACAGAGACGACATCTAACTCGAGAACCCCTGCAGATTTTTGCACTGTGTGTTTGCCCATCTCTCCTTGCCAATCAGGATTGCATTTGGAGAATTTGTTCAATAACGTATATATCTCATCAATTCTTTTCTCCAACACTTGACCTCCAGCTGCAACATCTACCACAATCTTTGTCTCGGGATGTAGCCCTTCTATGAAAGTGTGAGCTAACACTTCGTTCATCTGTTTGTGATGAGGATAGTCTTTGAGCAACCCCTTAAACCTATCCCAAGATGAGTATAAAGACTCCCCCGCTTTTTGTTTGAAGGCGACTATCTCTCTTCTGATCTTTGTAGTTTTGCCTTAAGGGAAGGACCTTGCCAAAAGTTTCCTTGCTAGATCATTCCATGATGTGTAGAATTAGATGGTTCTGCCTTCAGCCATCGCTTTGCTTCGCCCAACAGAGGGAACGGGAAAAGCGCGAGCCTCACATAGTCTATAGTGACTCCGTTAGTGATGTAAATATCACTAATCTCTAAGAAGTTCAGGATATACTGTTGTGGATCCTCGTGTGAAAGACCCATAAACTGCCTATTCACATGAAGTAGCTGGATCATGCTCTGTTTCAACTCAAAATGCCCAGTGATTTTGGGCTTCACAATGGTGGAGGTGACATTAGCAATGATGGGCATCGCCATCTCCTGAACAGCCATATGTTGCTCATCTGCCATGTTCATAGGAGATTGAATGAGTGCCTGAAGATTATTTGTATCCCTTGCTTCCCTCAACCTCCTATGAAATGTTCTCTCAGGTTCGGGGTCAAAGCCTTGAAGTCTATCCTGGCTTCAGACCCTTCGCATCTAATCAAGGTTCCTGAGAGCAGAGCAACAATTAAGTAACATTAAACTTGACAATAAACAATTAAAGTAAAAACTATAAAGTAGTCAATATTCAAATTCCCGGCAACGGTGCCAAAAACTTGATGCTCCCAATCGCACACGCAAGTATACGTGGTCGTACAAGTAATAAAATGATAAGTCTAGTGTCGAACCCACAGAGATTTGTATTAACTGCCCACTAAGTTCACCAAGATTGTTATTCAATCGAGCCAATTCGAGTTCAAAAGTGTGATTATACTAAACAATAATTCTAACTAGTAACTAAATTATCAAGTAGCAAAACGGTTGTTGTGTATTCAGGTGAGACAAATATTCCAGGGTTGTGATCGATTCACCAATCCTATTGTGTTCTAATTAATTCTCCCTTTCATACAATTCACTTATGGTTGCTAATTAATCGAACAATTGCTCTCATAGCCTTCTCCCGAAGTACTACTCCCCTATTCAAAATAGATTAACGCCTATATTCCTATGAAATCAATCAATTAAAAACGCATTAAGATTACGATATTTAGTTAAGCATGGTCACTAGGTATATTCCTATCCTAACTCAAAATGCTAATTATGAGTAGCTGGATCATGCTCTGTTTCAACTCAAAATGCCCAGTGATTCTGGGCTTCACAATGGTGGAGGTGACATTAGCAATGATGGGCATCGCCACCTCCTGAACAGCCATATGTTGCTCATCTGCCATGTTCATAGGAGATTGAATGAGTGCCTGAAGATTATTTGTATCCCTTGCTTCCCTCAACCTCCTATGAAATGTTCTCTCAGGTTCGGGGTCAAAGCCTTGAAGTCTATCCTGGCTTCAGACCCTTCGCATCTAATCAAGGTTCCCGAGAGCAGAGCAACAATTAAGTAACATTAAACTTGACAATAAACAATTAAAGTAAAAACTATAAAGTAGTCAATATTCAAATCCCCGGCAACGGTGCCAAAAACTTGATGCTCCCAATCGCACACGCAAGTATACGTGATCGTACAAGTAATAAAATGATAAGTCTAGTATCGAACCCACAGAGATTTGTATTAACTGCCCACTAAGTTCACCAAGATTTTTATTCAATCGAGCCAATTCGAGTTCAAAAGTGTGATTATACTAAACAATAATTCTAACTAGTAACTAAATTATCAAGTAGCAAAATGGTTGTTGTGTATTCAGGTGAGACAAATATTCCAGGGTTGTGATCGATTCACCAATCCTATTGTGTTCTAATTAATTCTCCCTTTCATACAATTCACTTATGGTTGCTAATTAATCGAACAATTGCTCTCATAGCCTTCTCCCGAAGTACTACTCCCCTATTCAAAATAGATTAACGCCTACATTCCTATGAAATCAATCAATTAAAAATGCATTAAGATTACGATATTTAGTTAAGCATGGTCACTAGGTATATTCCTATCCTAACCACAAATCCGCCACCCCCCCCCCTCCAGAGTTAAGATCGTGCTCTCTTTAATTCTTCTCTAATCTAAATATGGCTTTCCCAAGTATAACATAGATAATAAATAGAACCTAACTGCTGGCCAGACAATTAAGCAATTAATCACAGAATTGAAGAAACAACCATATATTGGTAAATTATAATTAAGGTTAAGTCAACGTTAAACAACAATATTCATGGCTAAATCACAATCCCAGAACTATTGGTTTTATCCGCATATGATAATATCAACAATTTCACAAGTGTTGGATAATTGAAAATACTAAGAAAATATGAAGAAAGTTGAGATATCCTCGCTCCCGAATGTTTCCCGTGTGTATTCTCTCTTCAAAGTGGCGTCTCCCTTCTAAAAATAGGCCTAGTCTTGCTTTTATACGCGTTGGGTAGGTCTAGGGACGAAATAACCTTGTCCCGGGTAAAGTTGGAGAAATTTCCCTCACCAGTGTCCAGGGCAGCGTGGGCCGCTGGCAATTCGAACATTCAGTCCATGGCGCTACAGGTGGCGTGGGGCACTGCCTGTGGCGGTGGAAATCCACATTTTCCATTTTTCCTCAGTTTTGGCTCTAATCTCGCACCTTTCGCCCCCAATTGCTTCCGGATGATTCCTACACATAAAAACATCACAAATTAATATAAATCAATATATTTTACATCTAAAATTCACGAAACACGAGTAAAATATGAGGCAATATACATATAAATATATATACTTTAAGCTAAATATCACAAGTCAATAGAGAATCAAACATTTAACTATGTACGGTATCTTCTACAGGACAGAAGGTTAATTTACAAAATAAATTATACAATACAATACCGTACAAATAATATATTATGAAACCATCCAAACAAAAAATTGAGAAAATGACATTGTATAGCCTCTCTCAAAATAATAGTCGAAAAAATATTTTTTTTTTTATATATATACGTTCTTTATGTTATATACAAAAATTATACAAATTCTATACACTTTTTCGGCTACAGAATGTAAATAGTTTCTGGCGCAGGCTAAAAATAAAAAAAGCCCAACAAATTTTTCGGATTTTTCTGAGTTGGGTTGGGCTGGCCAACTGAGCCCGAATGAGGACTGCTGTTCCAAATCCAGATAGAGGATAAACGACCCGATTGCAAAGAAAACATGCCCTAATATCTCCCATTTCGTCGACGTTGGTAATAAAATTACTCCGAATCAATAATCGGTGGTTAGTGTCTTCAATTGCAGCCATGGCTGGTAGAGAAGTTCGAGAATATACCAATCTCACAGATCCTAAAGGTACATTTGCCCCATTAACTCATGCAAAAGACTCCCTTTTTTTTTGTTGATTATGGTTTCATTAACATGCAATCAAATTGCAGATAAGAAATTTAGTAAAGGAAAGGATAAAATAGATGACGAGGAAATTGCCTTTCACCGCATGGTTTCTAAGGTTAGCCAATCCCGCTTCTCTAAACTTATCACACTTCACCATTTACCTTTTCATTTGTTTTCAATCCACGAATTTACCTTTTATTCTACTTTTTTATTTTTCAAATGTTGAGTTGACAATTACTGTAATAACATAAAAGGCTTTTAGTTGTTTGAAGAACTCCAGAGTATATGGTAAGGAAGGTTCATGATTTGGTATAGTAAATCGCGCTTTACATATGCTCAGTGGCGAAGCCAGAAATTTTTCCAAGGGTGTTCAGATTTAAAAGAAGTAAAAAAAAATTTCGGCAAATAGTGTTCAATATATGTTATATACATCTAAATTTAATATTTTACTTATATATACAATATAATATTTCGACGACCTTAGCTAAAGGTGGTGTCGTCCCTGCATATGCTGATATTAAATGGTTAATGAATTAATGTAGAGAAGCAAAGCTCTTTTGGCCCGTATATTTGTAATCATCATGATCTAATTCTGAAGATTGTTGATATTCTTACTCAGCAGCATTTAATCTTCTTCCATCTGCGTGTTGTTTGTTGTTATAAGCTGGAACGAGAATAAAGGGATTTATTTTCTTGTTCTAGCTTTCAAAGAAAGAAAAAAGACGTCCTCTTGTCTAAATTTGGAAGGTTTACCGAAATAACTTGGACGCTGAGCACCAGTTCGGCTTTACATCCTCTTACTTAAGGAAATCCTTTTGTCTTTCTCCCCAGTCTGTTTTTTTTTTTCCTCCACCAGACATTAAATGAACACGGGACATCTTACAAGACTATAATCAACTAGAGTAACATGTCTTGACTAAATAGTGCTAGATATCTGGATGGAGTTAAGTAGCAGAGACTTATCAAAAAGACAAAGAATTAAAAGAGTATTCTTGATTGCACCAGCAATTAGCATTCAGTTTAGAGGTCTTTGCTAGAATATTCTGCATATAAAGATTCTGCAGAGAAGTTTAGCACTGCTACACCAAATTGGTATGTTTTTGAATCCTTGTAACTTATCCAAAAAGAAAGTCAAAATACAGTAGAGAAGTTTCAGGCCTAGATTACACAATGATCCTCTTAAAATCATGGGAGTGGTCTGATAACATGCCCTGGCAGGGATCTTGGCTTGTCCTACTGGGTGCTTGATATGTTTCAGATGCGAGATGTTGCTGGGGAACGTGGAGGTTACCTTCATGGAAGAGGCGGTATTGATGCTTGCTCTGCTTGATTCATTTTCTTTTTCTGTTTCTTCTTTTTGCTGCAATTTTCACACATAATAAAGTGTCATAGTTTCTTGAGAATTGTGTAAGTTTTGAAAATGCAGCCCTAGACTGTGATGACCTGCTCTATCTCAAGGAACAGATGGAAGCTGAGGAGGACGCTGAACGCCTTCTGCGCCGCACTGAAAAACGTGCATTCCAAGTATTCAAAATATCCTTTTGTTTGTTTTCTTGGATTTTATCTCATTTTGCATGTGAATGATTTGTTTATTGGCTTATGATACAACTGAATTTCATTAATATAATTGTGAAGTTTTTTTGGACTGATTTATCACATGGATTTTCTCTTACATAATACAAGGGCTGTGACTTTGGGAAACAAGAGAGCATTTATATATGTAATCATGTGGTAGTTTGTGATTTCCGTAACAATTTGAAACAAAGCTGTTGCTGATTCTTCACCTGCATTACTTCCTCTGGCGCTTCGTGTTGAGCCCAAGCCAAAGAGTGGGATCAGGTTTGAACTTATCTTCTAATCCAAGGCAGATCAATCACCCAGAATATCTTTGGGAATCAACTCAACGCATGAGCTTTCTTGGCTGCAGGCAACAAGATCTACTAAAAAGGGTTGTAGAAGTCAAATCTAAGAAGCCGAAAGTCTCTAACCCATCCAATGGGAATGATTTTCTTGTTCATCCAAGTACACATGCTGCACCAAGTGGCAAGTGTGATGCCGATCATGAGAAGCAGATAGAAACTTTGCCAGCTAGACCAAGTGATGCTGGAGCTAGAACAGAGATAGAAAATCCAGTGAAAAAATTGCTTGCTGCATATGAGAGTTCTGATGATGATGACTGATTTTGCTAGGATTTATTTGTCTATGATGCTTAGTAGAGTGTTTGAATCGAGAAAACATCAGTTATAGGTGCTTGAATTAATGAGCATCATTAGTTGGTGTATGTGCCCATCCTAATCAAGAACTCTGACTTGCTTGTTTTAACATGCTTACAGATGATGAGCAGCCGCAATTCATACTGGAGTTTGCTTTTACCTTCAAAATTGACAGTGTAGCATTCCCCTCCCCTGCATGCATGGGGAGAGCCTAAATTAGATGAGAGTTCTATTTCTACTACGTACTGTTTCCTTTGTAAAGTGAATTGTAGGTTCACCACTGGATCATGAAAAAATAATACATAATGAGAGAGAGAGAGAGAGAGTTTCACAAGCTGACATACAAAGTGCTGTTCACAAGAGGCCCCAGTATTAACATCTCGTGTCAATTGGGTTTAACAAAAGGGGGAGGCTTAAAGAAAGAAAAAGAAAAAATAATCAAGTGAAAAACAGGCTTAAAGAAGGAAAAAGAAAAAATAATCAAGTGAAAAACCATATTTTAATTGGCGTCTTTTACAGTGGGCGTTACCTAGAGTTGATTCTCAACTCTTCATTCCATTTACAGGAACAGTGAACTACAAACACATCCACGATCTCAAGAGTTTTGCAGGAAGAGTTCTATTGAGTAATGAAAAGTTCTTGCTTAGTTATGAAATAACGGCCAATGATGTTCGCCTGCTCTACAATAAATTGCTCATGAAAGGTCCCCATCCGTTTGCTGGGTATATCAATAGAGAGATCTTTTAAATTTGGCAGACCCTCAACTTGCATACCATCTCCGCAAATGAGGAACTGATTCCCAACTATAAAAGATCCAGAAACACGAATTGCTACTCCATCTTGACCATGAGGACGGCATTGAAGTTTCTCCACAACATGCACAAGCTTTTCTGGAGGCCATTCACCAGCTAATGTCTTCCGTATATTGGACAAGGTTGAAAAGATATTGCTGGGACCAATAGATTCTTTCTCGCCAAAGCTTAGACGTCATAGAAAATTAAAGTTAGAAGGTAAAGTCAAGAGGACCACAAAGAGCTTCAAAAAATCATAAAACGTGATTGCAAAGAGCCTTAAATATAGATGCTCTCGTCGTTGTGTTGATATATACAAAGAGACACATATTAAGAACTATGCTCAAAACTGCATGAGTGAAGTCTCATGAAATACGATTCAAGGGTATGCACAAAGAGCCTCAAATTCCTCAGATCCCACAATTTTCCCAGAGTAAGACCTAGGCACTAGGAGCCAGGTCCCACAGTATCCATATGTTTGTACGGGTGCTTCTTACGCGTGTTAAAAAATACTAAAATCAACTTTCTCCTTGCAACAAACAAGTCTACACTTGAAGTCGCAAATGTCAATATGTCATACCTGAACGTGGAGCATTCATTATATAATGTTTTGGTATGCTGCCAAAATTCATCGGATCCATCAAACAGCAAATAGTAATGTATTGTCAGCATCTGACACAGCAAACAACAAACATGAATTCAGTATCACCTACTCCCGAAAGTTTTAGCCTATTGTAATTTTGATTGACAGCGAGTTAACAGAAGTAATACAGCAAACAGGCAGGACCATGCCCTCAACGACATCTTAATTCTAACAGATTTTTCACCAAATGAAGGAATTAGAGCTACTGAAAAGGTAAATATGAAGTAGAAAACTCACATCTGCCAGATCCTTCATCCTCTGTGTAGGATCAAAAATGCTTCTGACGAAAGCACCCAAGTCCACTGCAGAATCAGTATACTTGGTAATAAATGGATGTGAAAGAAGCTGCAATTAAAGAGGAGCATGAGCCACCATGCGATCTTAAACTGGTCTACTTTGTACATACCTTCATCATTGTAAGCAGTAAAGGTCCTAATGTATCAGTAAAACTCTATGATGAACATAAAAGTAACTGCAGCCACCCATTTCATACAGGTCAAATAAAAACCATATCTAGTTCCAACAATAATAAGTGATACGCAATCAGTAGTTCCAATTTCAATGAATATATATGCAAGTGCATAATGTCCATTAAGCTCCAAAAACTGAAAGCTGTATAAAATAATGCCAAACACCTTCCCCAGTTGTCCCATGTTTCAATGAAAATATATGCTCATTTACGCTTGTACCTTATTTAAAAAGGAAAAGTAAACGTGTGCCCGCCGGTTAGGCAAATACATAAGGTTCAGACAATCAATTCATCAAGCAGCACTGGTTTCATCTAACCAGATGAAATCATACACACAACCAGTGTTTCATGGGGAAAAAGTCTTGTTTCCTACTTGAAGTTTTAACCATCTATACCATTTCTACAATATCGAATAAGCAATAATATCAAGGGAATCCTATTTTTTTTAAAGTCGATCCTTGGACTTCTTCTGTAATTGTCCCTTTGACAAACAAATTCTGTATATAAGTAAAATGCCTGAGATTGACCTAAACAAGAATCAGAAATTCATTAGACTGCACATGTAGTTCTAGCAATCCTGGAAGACAACTTTTCGGACTGAATTGATGCAGGATTCATTTACTGAATTGAACCTTGCATGGTCTAGCAATGCTTGTTCTCTCTGCATATCTTCTACAGTTGCTTCCTTTTCCACTTCATCTCCTTATCTGCCTTTCAATTTCGAAGTAGTTCTCCGGCAGATTTGACCTTCCAAAGCTCTTTGGGAATTTCACATCTACTTCCTCTTGCCCAGGGAGAACCACACAGTTATGCTTTATCATCCCACCATCCAAGACATGGCTCCATCTCTAATAAGGGAGACCTTGTAGCATATTTGCTCTTCATCTGTATACGTGCAAGCGTGACAAAAGGTTAAAGGAGAGAGTCTCTATTAGACCGTAACCAGTGCTTGCAGCACAATATAAGTTCAGACGTCTATATTGACCATATTCACAGCAAAACCAAGAAAACTAGGTGGAGTTTCCTTATTGGGTATATTTGGCTTCAAAATATTAAGCGTCCTTTGAAGGCCATCGACTATGAACTCACTGGCATATGGTCTTAAGTTTTCAAAACAGTTAACAAGAAATCGGCCATCCAAAGGCCTCCAGAAGCTCCAAGTCCATGAAGACCAGAAGTTTTGTTTACATAACCTTCCTTATCGCATGTTTTGTTTACATAACCTTCCTTATCGCATGTCTCCAGTGCTTTAGTACCATTATACGTCTTGCAAACAATTGCTAGCAGAGTCTCAAGTCCCAAATAATCTGAGAGTATGCAAGCAATTGTTCGCAAGTCGTATCAAGGGGTCCTAATTGCCCTGAACTCCAATGCACTTATCAGGAGAATGGTAAACAGTAGACAGATTAGTAACTTAAAACTGAAATTATTCCAGCTGACTGAGTAAAATTGACAGTCTGATTCTGCTTCCAGTAGCATCACAGTGCCTTGGCGGTTGCTCAAAAGATAGGGTGAAATGTGCACTATCTATTGACTGTCTGATATCGAGCGTTAGGTCAAATGGAGCACTAATTCTGGCAAGCCCAGAGCACCTTCCTATTTTCAAATTCCTTCAGGAATGCGCCAGAAACACCACATGCATGAAGTAGTGTGAATATAAAATAATTCTCCTAAGCGTAATCCTTTTACGCAGGAAATTCTGAGTGTAGTCATCCAATAGCAGTATTATGCCCATTCCCGTACGAAATAAAATGGGAGAATTACTAAAAGGGAACCATAACTCCTACTACCTCTGAAGGACCTCTCAAATGTTTAACATGGTTCTATGAAAAAATAATATTTTATGGAATTCTTACTTCTTTCGAGAATTCAGATGCATTTAACCAATTCAATTGTACACAATGATGATTCCCTCATCATACAGACATATTAACTTTTACTTTTTACCTTTTCATACTTTTACTAGTAAAACTTGCCTCATAAAACTCAGATTCAGAACATATTCAAACTGTTTCACATAAAATGCAGTGGAGGAATAATATTCCCTAAGAGTGAATTCCTTTTTGTTCAAGATTGACATATGAAGTGTACAAGTGATCATCATATCTTCAAGAGGTATATGTCACTAATTCTGGTTTTATAGCTGCATTTGCCTCTTTAGAATGTGTAAAACTTCCAGTTCCCCTTCTTGTGATCTACTTGCTTGTAAAGGAAAAGCCTTTATACTGACCTGCTCTGCCGTCAGCCTGTCATCAGGATTTTTTTTGAGGCAAGCATCAATGAACGAGCAGAACTCTGGTGAAAAGTCGTGTCTTGACAGTGAAGGAGACGGATCATCTAGGATCTGCCATCAAAGTTTTGAAAAAAACAAGGATGAGATGTGATGATGGACTCTGTTAGTGTATGCAATTCATCTAGATTATATCTGAAAGAAAAGTGACCCAAACATGTTAACAGGGGCTGAACTGATATCTAAATTCAGAAAATCTGATATGGTAACATACTGGGACCAAATAATTGGTGATCCGTTTATAATTCCATCCGTATATGCAGTTCCACAATAACAGGGCAAATTACCAGTAAGTTTTTACAGTAAAATAAATGATAAAAGAGCATTGAGATGCAACCTGTTCGTATTAACTATCCACTACGACCTTAACAAGCCCAGTCTTTCTTTATCAAACAAAATTTAACTGTCACCACAAATTCAAAAGATAGAAGGAAAGCAATGGTTCATTCCAATACAATTTCTTTCCCTGAATTTGATTTCCCTTTATCTCCTTTCTCATTGTAGTTGATGTTACATTCTAACTCTTGAAGTTCAATTCTCTTGTGCTGCTGCCCTTATTTTTCTTCACAAGATTTTCCTTATACTTGGTTCACTACCTTCTTGCCTTCCCTATTCAAGTTGCATTACCTTCGCCTTTCCTCGTCTGATCACTACGAAATTTACATGTTAGTCCCTTCTTTATTTCCAATGATCTGAGGGGATATGTTATCATCAACCACTTCTATCACACATCATCAGTTATCTGTTATCTTCCATCAAAATCTGAACCATTGCAGGCTTGTCGCTATTGCTTCTTTTGCAGTCTGACTCTTTTTTCATCATTGGCGTCCTCCTCTGAAGAACATTATCCACATCACCTGGAGCACCCGGGTCCAAAATAGTAAGCTTCCCAGCTGCATCAGTCTCATATGCTCTTTTAATGCCCTGAAAACAGTGATCTTTTTTCTAACTCTCTCTCTTCCCCCCCCCCCCTCCCCCCCCCCCTTCTCTCTTCTTTGGATGATATACCCTATTCCACCACAGAAATAGGAGGAAACTTCATGTTTCTAGATGTTTGTTTCTACCTGAGTTGGTTTGCGACCTAATGACTTTCCAGCAAGTTAAAGGCTTATGTAAAGGAAAGAAGATATAGAAGAACTCTGCAATGCACAAAATCAACAAGTTCCATAGCAGATCATGCAAATTTATAAGCGTTAGGATATCAGACTTGCGTATTATAGCCTTTTTGGAGGGAGAGGAGATTTCAGTTGCAAATCCTGTTAACATAATCAAGAACAAATTGGTAAGAAATAAATAGCAATAGAGGATTGACCTGCAACATGAGATTGACAGGTCCTTCATTAGCTGTATATGGAAATTCACCTGTACCACACTCAAACAGTGCAAGCCCAAGGCTCCAAATGTCAGCTGGGTAAGAGTAATTCTCATTTCGTATTCGTTCCGGCGACATGTAAGTTACTGTTCCAACAAAAGTAGCACACTGAAAATACAAAAATTAGAAGGAATGAATCTGAAATAAGATATGCCTGAAGATATTCATAATACATTTCTTGGAGAAAGAGAAGTGGATATTGGCGTAACCTCCTTTAACTAACCATAGCAATAGAGCTTTCTAAGCCAGCACTAATGCCAAAATCTGTTATTTTTGGCTCCCCCTTGAGATTGACAAGCAGATTCGCCGGCTTTATGTCTCTGTGAACTAAATGTCGAACTCCGTGCAAATAACTGAGACCCTTAAAGAACAGAGAAGTTCTATCAATAAAGCTGAGGGACGATACTAAGACTACCACTAAAGAAAGAAGTTGAAGAAGAGTCCTTACATTCAAGAGCTTTTGAACCATTGGAGAAAGGATAGCTTCTGGAATGCTCTTCCTCACTTTTATGATATCTGCAAGAGAACCCCCATCCATGTACTCTAGAGCTATGCTTATTTGCCCAGAATCTGGAGTATAAAACGCTCCATAGAACTCAACAAGACCTTGGCAGCATGGTGCCTCACACAATGTCCTTATTTCAGTAAGCAGTTGTTGCCTTTTCTCCTAAAATGCACAAGAAAATATCTCAGTGAATAGAAAATTGGACATGGTTCCATAAATTCACTTGCCAACATGCACATACATTCTTTTAAGTTTTACCATATGATTACATGTTGATACTGCACATTTGATGCTTCATGGCTTATGTTATTTCCTCTTTTTTTTTTTTTTTTTTTTTACGGGGG